GTGAACTCCTTGCTAAGCAGGTGGGGTCAGAAAGAAGCGAACTAGATAAGAGCAGAGGGGCAGAGTGGTTATAATCCTATAAAAGTCATGTAAACATAATGCCCATCCTATTGGTTTGAAAAGTGGTATTTTTTTAACTTCCATTTCACAGCATTATTTCAAAATGTCTTGAAATTGTTTTTCTCTCTTGAAATGACACTATACAGCTCCAGCCTATTCTTTTATGTAGGGATTTTGAAATAGCTTGTCTTCCCAGACAGCGAGAAAGAGCTTGAAACTCTCGCATATAATTATTTTCTTCTCTCTTGCACTTTGCAGCTTGCACTATTTGTTTATTGAACGTGTATTTAGATAAAATACGAAGATAATACTATATGCATGTCTCTCGAGGAAGGGAGGGTCGTTTCATTTTTAATTCATCCATTGATGCTATGTCAGAAAGGTCTGAGTAGTTTGTTATGTCACTATTCAAATATCCCTCATGCCAGCTATTAACCAGAGGATTGAATAGCCAAGCTTCCTATTCATTGATACCAGGTTAGGGAATACCACGCATACTGAATTAAATAGACCAGTATTCTATTCATTAATCTATGTCAGGGAGATACGTATATGGTGGTTAATGACAACAAATTTCATGATAACAATATAAAAACTCACTATCATAATCAGGGGTGTCGATTTGTATCCGTGGTTGGGGGGGGGGGGGGGGGGGTGATAGGTGCCAAAATATTTTCGGCAATGGATCAAAGCAACCAAGAGGTAGAAGCGTGTGACAGGTTGCACCCCTCCCTTCCAAGTTATTAACTTTTTCAAGTCAATAGAATATGGGACCCATGTGGGGCCCACATGGGCTTGCTATACCTGGATTATTATCCTCTCAAGCGCGTAGCCAGGATTTTATTTAAGGGGGGGCGGTAGTGAGCGCGCGAGGCGCACTCACTAAAGGGGTGGGTGCAGGGAGGGGGAGTTTTCCCCCTCCCGCGCGAAGTGCGGAAGCTTTGATGTTTCATTAAATTATTAGAGAAAGAAGACGATTTGTTGTATCATCCTCGACTCTTTATCCTTGTTTGAATCAAGTTCCCCTGCCTCCGCGCGTAGCGCGGAAGCTCTGACGTTTAATTTAATTATTAAAGAAAGAAGACGATTCGTTGTATACCATTCTCGACTCTTAATCCTTGTCTGAATTCAGTTCCCCCCCCCCCTCCCGCGCGAAGCACGGAAGCTTTGACGTTTTATAAAATTATTAGAGAAAGAAGACGATTCGTTGTACCGTTCTCGTCTCTTAATCCTTGTCTAAATCCTTTTGACGTTTATTATTGAAGAAAGAAGACGATTCGTTGTACCGTTCTCGACTCTTAATCCTTGTCTAAATCCTTTTGACGTTTCATTAAATTATTAAAGAAAGAAAAAGATTCGTTGTACCGTTCTCGACTCTTAATCCTTGTCTGAATTCAGTCTCTCCTCCCCCCCCCCCCCTCCCGCGCGAAGCGCGGAAGCTTTGACGTTTCATTAAATTATTAGAGAAAGAAGACGATTCGTTGTACCGTTCTCGACTCTTAATCCTTGTCTAAATTCTTTTGACGTTTCATTAAATTATTAAAGAAAGAAGACGATTCGTTGTACCGTTCTCGACTCTTAATCCTTTTTCTTCCTACGTGCTCTTCCTTTCTTCTTTCTCTCTCTCTCTTTTTTCTCTACTTCTTTTTTGCACTTTTGCGCTTCGCGCTTAACATTTAGCTCGTTGCTTTTTAACGCTGCGGCTTTGCATTTGGCGCACTGCATTTCTATGATGCTGTTGATTGAATAAATCCATCAATTCTTGATGAAACCGTATGAGCAAGAATTCAATTTATTCTTGTCCCATATACGGTCGTCTCATTTACTTCGTTTTCTATTTATATATGTATGTATTATGAAAATGAGATAGCAAAATGTGTATATTGATGGTCATCTTGCGAGTAATAACCATTTACTACTCTCATCGGGCTCTCATCAATAATTTTTCTCTTCATTTTTATTTTTGGGTGATGGTGAATTATTGGGGGGGGGGGGGGTTGATTGTACAGGCCATCCCCCTGGATCGACACCCATGATCATAATTAATAACTTAAAGAAATCTTGACACCATCAGACTATTAAAAAAACCATCATCATGTATCCCAAAACGGAAAATTAATAAATATGCATTTTTTGTCATTGACGTGTTAACAAATAAACACGAACTACACAAGAGAGTGAGGCAGAGTTGTCTTGCGATCACAATCACTTCACAATGCCGAGATAATTGATGCCATTGAATGTCAAAAACTGTCAAATTGATAACCTATTCAAAACTAGTCTTAAGACACATTTATTCAAAATTGCTTTCGCTGATTAATTAACTCTGTTTCCATCTGATGTATATGTATCGTAATTTGTAGGTTTATTTGCACTTTTTTGTTTATCAGTCTATTTTGTTTGTTATAGCGCTTAGAGACTTCGGTGGTAAGCGCTTTAT